TTGCTGTTTTGAAACATCTAGCTATGGATTGCAAATTTAACGACGCCATGCGTTTGGAAAGGCTTAGAGATAGACTGGTTTCGGGTATTCGAGATAAGAGAATGATGTCAGAGCTTTTGAAACTTAAGCTTGAGGAACTAACATTTGACATTGCTGTTGCAAAGTGCTTAGCTATTGAGCAATCTTACAAGGATGTTGAAGCTCTCCAGGGAATAAAGCGTCAGAATCAATCGATCTATTAGCCAAATCAAAGCCAAGCAAGAAGCTTAAATTCAAGAGAAAGCCAAGCTTTCAGAGAAAAAGGGTTCTGTTTCCCCCAAGAGAACGGGTGATCAAAGTTGCTACCGCTGTTTGGGAATTCATGATCACAAAAGTTGTCCATTCAAGAAAGAAAAATGCCACCACTGTAACAAGACTGGTCACATTGTGAGGGCTTGTAAATCAAAGAAAAAAGAGACACAAGTTTCCCAACCCCCAGTAAATTATGTAGACAGCGATGACGGGGACAGCGATGATTATTTGGCATCCCTTGAGGTCAATAATGTGGGTGACAAGGATCACGTAATATGGGTCAACCCCGAAATACAGGGAAAGATGGTCAAGATGGAACTAGACACAGGGTCAGCGGTGTCTGTACTTCCATACAAACAATATAAGGAACATTTTAATCATGTCAAACTTTCAAAGAGCCTTGTGACACTTAAGACATACACTGGGCAGAAAATCACACCTAAGGGAGAGATGAGATGTAATGTTAAGTTCAAGGGCCAGGAAAAGAGTTAAACCTACAAGTTGTTGAGACGCAGGGACCAGCACTGTTTGGGCGTGACTGGCTGTCCAACATTCAACTGAACTGGGGTGAAATCAAAACCTTTAAGCTTAGCAAGACTTCAGAAGGGGGTATGGCACGCAAAGTGGATCAGCTACTACAGAAGTACGAGTCTGTTTTCTCCGAAAATCTGGGCACACTTAAAGGCTACAAGGCGGATTTGAAGGTCGAGGAAGGCTGCCAGTCCAGCTTTCATAAACCACGCCAAGTGCCATACGCACTCCGCCCCAAAGTAGAAGCAGAATTGACACGCTTAGAGAAGGAAGGTATTCTCTCTAAAGTAGAATACAGTGAATGGGCGACCCCAATTGTCCCGGTAGTCAAGCGAAACGGATCGGTACGAGTTTGTGGCGATTTTAAGGTCTCAGTGAACCCAGTACTTCTTGCAGAACAGTACCCTCTGCCACGTATAGAGGATATTTTTGCAAATTTGGCTGGCGGTAGACATTTCAGCAAGCTTGACCTTCGCCAAGCTTATCACCAGATGGAAGTAACCGAAAGATCCAAGGAACTCCTTACGATTAATACACACAAGGGCCTTTTTCGATACAATCGCTTAGTCTTTGGCATCTCTTCGTCTCCAGCCATTTGGCAGCGTGCCATAGACCAGGTATTACAGGGAATACCTGGGACCCAGTGCATCCTTGATGACATGATTGTCACAGGTAAAACCGATGAAGAACATTTGGAGAACCTGGAGAGTGTACTCAAGCGATTACAAGTTGCGGGTCTGAAGGCTAACAAGGAAAAGTGCGAGTTCTTCAAAGATAGAGTTCAGTTTTGTGGGCATGAGATCGATAAGGAAGGTCTACACAAGACACAAGAGAAGATTGAAGCAGTGGTCAGTGCACCAAGACCTGAGAATGTGTCACAGCTTCGCTCATTTTTAGGGCTCGTAAACTATTACAACCGTTTCTTGCCCAATGCGTCTACAGTTCTCCACCCACTTCACCAGTTGTTAGAGCAAAACAACGAATGGCAGTGGACTGAACGGTGCGAGCGAGCGTTCACTGAGGCTAAGCGTATGATTACATCTGAGCAGGTGCTAACGCACTATGACCCAGCATTACCGGTTAGGCTGGCATGTGATGCTTCACCAACTGGCATCGGCGCGGTTCTTTCACACGTCATGTCCGATGGTAGCGAAAGGCCGGTAGCTTTTGCGTCCCGATCGTTGACCAAGACTGAACGACGGTATGCACAGATAGACAAGGAGGCATTGTCCATTGTGTGGGGGGTGAAACGATTTCATGTTTACCTCTATGGGAGACGATTTACGCTCATTACAGACCACAAGCCCCTCACTGCCATCTTCCACCCAGAAAAGGGAGTTCCAGCCATGACTGCTGCAAGGCTTCAGCGATATGCATTGTTCTTGTCTGGGTTCGACTATATCATTGAGTATAAGAGTACAACCAAACACTGCAATGCCGATGGACTGTCGCGGCTCCCTCTCCAGCAGAAAGAGCGAGAAGACTTGGAGGTGGATTCAACAGAGGTGTTCCACGCCTCTCAGTTTGTGCCATTACCTATAACCAGTGAAGCAGTGGCAAGAGAAACACGTCGTGACGTTGTCCTAGCGAGGATACATGATTCTATCGTGAAAGGATGGTCTACTCGTGTGGAGGGAGACAAGCCTTATTACGAGCGACGCAATGAACTGACAGTTCACCAAGGCTGCATCCTATGGGGAATGAGAGGGTCGTTCCCAATAAGTTACAAAGCAGAGTGTTAGAGGAACTTCATGATGGGCATCTGGGCATGGTCAAAATGAAAGCACTCGCGAGGAGCTACGTATGGTGGCCTAATATCAATGGTCATCTGGAAGAGCTAGCGAAAGGCTGCAGCGGGTGTCAGCAAAATCAGAAGATGCTTGCTAAAACACCACTACATCCGTGGGAGTGGGCCACTACACCATGGCAGCGTATACACATCGACTACGCAGGGGCCATTTCAGAACTCGATGTTCTTAGTGGTTGTCGACGCACACACAAAGTGGCCAGAAGTGGTTCCAGTCAAGTCAACTTCTTCAAGTTCGACTATCGAAATTCTACGCGATTTGTTCGCCAGATTCGGAATTCCAGAACAGATAGTCAGTGACAATGGTACACAGTTTGTTTCGGAGGAATTCCAGACATTTGTCAAGTCCAATGGCATCCGCCATATAACTTCAGCACCGTACCATCCAGCGACGAATGGTCTTGCGGAAAGGACAGTACAGACCTTCAAACAGGCTTTGCGTTCCATGCGTCAAAGCCCCAAGCCAGTGAGGGAGAAGTTGGCGAAGTTTCTCATAGCTTACAGGAACACTCCACACTCCACCACCGGTGAGAGCCCAGCACAGTTACTCCTGGGAAGACCATTGCGTACTCTCCTAGATTTGGTGAAACCTAACTTAAACCGTAAGATGGTTAACCAACAACACCAGCAGAGCATTAAGGCAGCGATTGACAAGGGTAAACAGTATCGCCAGTTAGAGATTGGTGACTCAGTTATGTCACGGGATTATCGAGGGGATCTGAAGTGGCGTCCAGGGCTGATTGTTAACAAAACAGGTCCGCTGATGTATGAGGTACAGGTGGCACCGGGACTGACCTGGCGCCGACATATTGATCAGTTGAGACCAACGGCAGTTGGACACACAGTTGAAAGCACTGACGCCGACTGTAGTGTTGAAGTCAGCCAACCTGAAATGGCCAACACACCACTGACCCCAATTACATCAAGTACTCCAACCACTGAGGGCGGCACAGCTCCAGGAGGTTCCAAAAAAGATCAACCAAAGATGGTTCCTGTTTCCACACCTACGGTACCTGACCCTCCTGATGCTAAACCAGCTACAGTTAGTCCGATGGTCAAAATGCGACAACACCCTCAGAGAGTTCGCAGGGCACCACAGAGGCTTGATCTCTGAACTTTGTTTTATTCTGTTCGTTTTCTTGTTTAAAGGTCGTTCTTACCTTTCGAACTGTGGTTACCGGACACTGTTGGTTTATTTTATGTTTTCCTTGAAATTGTATTTTAGGGCTTGTTTTGAAAGCTAGGGACAGATCGTTTTATGTGTGGAGGAATGTTATGGTTTTCCAGTGTGTTGTATGTTGTGTGTTACCATATATGGTTTGCTCATGCGCACGCATGAGGCTTCATTAAACAGTCTTTTACTTGCCGAACCGCCATATTGTTTGGGGTGTGTAGTTCTTAAGTAATACATGACAGTGGCATGTTTTGTCTTCAGTTGCGAAGTCAGGCTGGTTTTCTCTCTTCTTTATCTACTTCCAGATTCATTTATAAAGGCCAGTCTTGACTCAAACCATCGCGTTTCTTCTACCATTTTATGCTTCTTGAAAAACTCAAGTAGCTATAAAAGAAAATACATTAAGACAATAATTCTTGACAAGAAAAGGCAGCCTTCTTAAACTTTCAATAAAAAAATTGTCGCCCTAAGAAACAAGATTTTAATTTCAACTGATTAATTTTGTTGCGTAATCCCCGCAGCAACTCATATTGCGCTTTCTTACGCTGACTTAAATTAATTAAATAACATAAATGAACCACATCAAAATTGGCACATTTTGAAATATTCTTCCTTGACCAGGTTCACCATGGATAATCTGTTTGAATTCCTCCATCTCGAGCCATACTTCTTCGCTCGTGGTTTATTTATTTATTTATTTTTTTTACATTCAAATCTTACCAAACTAATATTTTGTAGTGTTCGATAACCTTAAGATACTTTTGCAAGCCGTAAAAGTAACGTAACAGAGGGTTCCATGTAGAATTTTGTCGGAAAGCGTCGCTTGGTTTTCGGTAAATTGTCGTCGAAGCAGCCGAACGATTTTTTGACTCTTAAAGGCCATTTAGAAAACAAGACGGAAACAGTACGATTGCCGCAAAGCTCGTCACGTGAGCGGAACATGTGATAGTTAAAAAACTGCGGTCAAGTTGTGACCACAAAACATGAACAACCAACTCTATTTGTATAAAGGAGGTAAGTTTCTAAAGAAACTGTGGTGCTGCGTCGTTGGGGGAGTATAACAAGGTAATTTAGTATTATTTACTGAGTTGATAATATAAATTGGCCGAAATGTCAGCTTTTCAACTCTTTACGGTGGCCAACTCTACATGTAGTTCCACTGGTCGTATCTTCCCACGAGTATAAAAAAGAAAAAGAAAAACTCAATACCTTTTGATACCTATCAACAATGTCGAAACCGCACAGTTGTTGTAGTTTGTGGAGATCAACAGGACAAAGGTTAATTGGTTGAGCTGAAAAAAAATATATAAATAAAAATAAACCATAACAAGAATTTCATCATCATTCGTCTATGAAAGTTACTTTTCCAAGCGTTCAATAAGTAAATGGGTCCGATTAAAGCGCAGATCGTAAAACGGAAGAGGTCGGGTCGTGTCGCGTCAAGAACGCGTCCTTCACGCGTTAAGATCGCGCCTCGTTTAATATTCTCTTGTTTACCAACTAAAGTCCAGAACATCAATGCGTTATGCCTTAGATTTAATCGTATCGTCAGGTAGCCATCTTTGGAAAAATAACAATCTTGGGGAAAGTTTTATATTTCTGAATTCGTCCGTTTTAATAAGTTACGTTCTGCGATTAGCCTCAGAAAACCACTTCTCTACCGATCAAAATCAAAACGAAAACCAACGAAAACCAACGAAAACCAACCAAGGCACAGAGAAGATACGGAGAAAATGCCCAAGCTGTTTATCATGGAAAATGTTGACTGTTAAGTCAAATCATTTGATACAAAACTCACAGAAATCTTCAGCAAGGTGACCTGAACCATTCATACAGCAGGCATACCAGATGCAGTGCTCTACTCCGAAAAGGTGTGCAATCTCATGTACCAATAATTTACAACTTCTCTGTGAAAAGTAACCACAGTGACTATAATTCAAGTATAAAACTTGCGCGTTGTTGTCTAAGTATTCTTAAAAATTAAGGGTAAAGATGTCTGACTTCTACGTCATCTAAAACCAAAAGCCTGGCGCAAGCCAGATTCGTTGCACGAAATGTAGGATCTGAAATTAGGGTTGGGTTTTGATTCTTGCTTCTGACGCCACGCGACGGAATGTTGACATTTCAGGGCCAAAGTTGATCGACGTCTTGTTCAACTATTTATGAAGACTGGAGTTAGGATTGTCGTGAAACGTATTCAAGACTCATTTTTGGGTCTTTATCACCCCTGGATCAAACATTGAGGTCAGGAGAATAAAAGAAGTGATCACCAACTAAAGAAACTCTTGATTGTTAGACAAATTCTCCTTGTCAGCACCTTAGGAAATGTTTAGAGAACAGTATGGAGAATATGCATACTGATGTTAGAGTGTAAAGGGTTAAGGATTATATAACTTTCCTGGCAATCAGTACCTGTAGAATTATCTGCTTCTTCTTGAGTGGATCAAGTTGTTTGGATGGCAAGATGTCATACCAGTGTTCAGTGGAGAATGACAAAGATGGATCGTACCGCGCAAAACTAAAAACCTGAAGGGAATAATCTGATGTGAGGAGGTACAATATTTTAAAAGTTACAAACACACTATGTCATGTTATTTAGTGAGGTAGGATCCAAAAATTTTAGCTAATTGGGCGACATGTGCCTGAAATTACAGTGTCAGTAATGGATCCAGGGGGAGGTCCCTGGGGGAGGTCCCTGGGGGGAGGTCCCAGGAGGAAGGTCCCAGGGGTTCCAGAACCTCCCTTTTCTTCTTGTCTGACACCAAAATTCTCACTACAAGAAGATTGCAAATTACTAGTCAATATGAAGAATTTCAAATCCACAGATCTTGAAATACTTATCAGCTCATTTAAGTTATAGCTTAGAAAAAATCTTTTGTTTTCCAAAACAAAGCTTGCATACCCCCCCTATCAAAAACTCCTGGATCCCATCCTAAATGTCTCTGAGGAAATCTGATATTATACCAAGGTACATGAACATACACTTCTTGCAGTTATATTTGCCAATCATTGGTACCTTTTGCTAGGTTAAGTAAGATTGTGAGAAGAAGATGAATGTTAATCACTTCTAGGGATCAATAGGTCATACCTCCATGACAAATCTAATGCATAGTTATGTCATAATACCCACTCACGGCAACTCTTTGATTTCCTGCAGCCAGCCCTGCCACAAACAGGTCAGATTCATCCTCATACAGGTCTACCATGGTGAGACCAATTAGACAGAGAGCATCGCCAGTAATCTGTTGCTGCAGAAGCCTGTGGATGCTGTCTACCCTTAGTTGTACATGCCCTAGTGGAGAAGCCAATCAGTGTTAACTGTTAAACCAATTACAAATCACTCAGCACACCTCATTATACAGTGCTAACATATTTTTTGTGGACAAATAATGCTCATTTTTTCTCTGCAGAATGGGCCTCTGCCTTTTACTAGGCTGAATTTTCACAGTATGAAAGAATTATCAGTTGATAGAGGAAGGAGGGGGTTGGAAGGAGAAGCCCTATACCCAGGTCGCCAATCTTTCATTCATCTTGCAAGGTGATCGGGAAAATGATAACATGCTTCCTTCAAGATGTCATGCAGGCCCTCAGATGACATACCACTGCTCTGCTGGCCAGTCACGACAAAGAAAAAACAAATAATCGTGACATACCATGAGACCAACAATGATTGAGTTCAAGCTGTTTTAACTGTACTCTTGAGCTTGTCCGCGATGCACTTGCTGAGGTAACTAGTTCGTTCAATCCATAATTCCAGTATGCCAAATCACCTGCAAGGGAAAGCTCTTTGGAGGTCAGGCATGCTAGCCACTGGTCTCGTCTCGTTTCTAGTAGCACGAGTGTCTCGTCTCGTCCTTCCTGCTATCAATGTTTTTTACATTAGAAGCAGAGAGGACTTTCATATGTTTACGCCAAGGCACATTCAGCGATCCACAATTTTACAACAGCTTCACACCATTACCTTTCTTTGTGGGAAGCTTAAGCTTCACTGCTGGTAATACAACAACAGGCAACGAATAAAAACGTTCTGTGTAGTCAGCTAAGTCATCAATGCCGGGATTACAACTGTTCGAACAGCTTTGATCAAAATCGCCCAGAGGTTGTAAGTAAATTTTTCCATCTGGGTATCTCTGCTTGAGATTTTTTCCATCGGAAATAAACTTTTGCCTCGTGTATTTCACTTTGCGACCTGAGATCCAAGGACAGGTCCTCAAAAAGTTTTTAAAGGACTGTCCTTCCTCGTTGTATTGCGCTAACCAATCATCTTCGGAGAGTGGCTGCGGAATACGTCGAAAATAAGCACTTTCTGGTCCTGGATCGTAAATTTTTGGAATCTTAGATAATCCTATTGCATTTCTGCTTTGTTTTAATGTTGGAAGACGAAATCCTGCGGCAAATGAGACTTCAGATTCAGACTGTTTTCGTTTCCTTGTTCTTCGAGCGGCCGACATGTTGACATCTCAGGTAACCAGGCCAAACTTTGAAGTTTGAGATGTCATTTTCTGTCTTTCGGGGGAGAGGTTAAATTATTTAAAAAGTACACGTTAAAGTGAGTCTTACATCCCAATTTATTCTGCTTTTAGAGACTTATAAACTAAATAATTCACTATTAGGCTAGATATTAGATTATTCAAGTGCAATATGTCTTCTTTTGCTTTCGCAAAAGTGCTGTGACAAGAATTGCGTATGAGACTCCCCCGGTGGGAAAACTGAAAAACATGATGACAACATTTACGACTCATTCATCGTCACGTGACTACTCCAAGATGGAGGAAGGATGGCATTTAGATGCCTTCGACGACGGTTCATTGAGTAAGTTTTAACACTTTAAATTGACACCAGCATAAGTCGAAAAATTATTTAACAAGGATTTATTACCTGCAGAACTCGTCGGCGAAGCGCAGTTGAAAAAATATGGCCAATTTTTGGAGGAATACGCTTCACAGCTCAAGGCGATCGAGGATGCCTTGGACGACTCTGTTGGAGACTCGTGGGATTTCAGTCTTGATCCCATTGCGTTGCAAGTGAGTAGAAAATTACGGAGATGGTTAAATGATATATTTTTTAAGATATATGTTGTTATCATCCTTGAGTTATCAAAATCTTATTTACTCCGCAAGTGTCATGCTCATATATTCCGACCCGGATACCACCACCTCACCCGCCCCTCCTCATTTATATCTTAGCACCCCCCCCTTCACTCTTACATCTACTGAGGCCCTATATCTTATTAAGAACGAGTTGAATACGTTATCTAGCAAATAGTCAATGAGATAGCCTGCTTAATTATCTTGACAAGTTTTCAAGAAACTGATTGGCTGCTAAACGGGTTAATTGAAATTCATAATAGTAATAGGTCTGAGTGGAGTCCAATTTGGTCTGTGATCTACACAATCAGAAGACTTCAAAGTGGGAGTCTGATTTATTAATCACTAGTATGATATCAGCCCAAGTTGGACAACATAATGTCTTGTTACCAATAAATCAAAACTATAGCAAAATTTGACGAAACACTCTTCTTATCATCTTCTTTACATTTTCATTTAAAAACAACTGTGCACAACAAGAGTGCATGCAAATGACACATAGACATACTGTCCACTCACACAGGTATGAGGTGTCAACTGTCCTGTTACACTGTCTAATTACAAGCATGGGAGAAGAGTCATTTGAATTAATACCCCTAAAATCCTGAAGAATTGTTTTTAGCCTAGATTTGAACTTAGATATATTGTGGAAAGGGGAACAATTTTAGAAAGACAGTGCTTTCTTTTGAATTAGACTCTGCCGTACGAGCAGTCAAGGATGTTGGAACTCATCAAGACAGAGAACAAGGTTTGTTTTGCTTTTAGCATTTTGTTAGTATAGGTAATGACATGATTTCCAGGGCGATTTGATGTTAATAAGCCTCAGTAAAAAATTACAAAATTGCATGAGCCCGTAAGGCAAGTGTAATTTGCAGTCTCTTAAAAATTGACAAGTGCTTATTACACCAAATTTCAAGAGATATCATGTTATTACTTCCTAGTAATATACATGGAAAAACATCACAGAAAGTTAAGACAGATGACATTTTAAAGGCATGTGTGTGCTATTTGCAAATTTGCACTCATGTTTCAATTTTGCACTCGTGTTACAACTTTGCACTTGTGTTACATGAGAATGCACTTGTTTTCAGCCAATCTGAAGTGTGCAATTCTTTCATATACATTATTACGTTTGTAGCACAGATTTTAACATGTAGATTTTTATTAGGAGACTTAATGTACTCATAATATCTGATCAGCCTTGCGCACATTTGAATATTTTATGGGATAAATGTGCACAACACAACTTGTAATAAAATAACTATTACAAATATGATAATGATGTTGATGATGCTATTTTGTATTAGTATTAAAATTGTTAAAGAAATCTGTTAATAATAAAAGGGATAAAAATGCACAACACAACTTGTAATAAAATAACTGTTATGAATATGATAATGATGATGATGTTATGATGCTGTTTGTAATAGTATTAAAATTGTTAAGGAAATTTGTTAATAAGAAAAGATCTGAGTTCCCAGTGAGAATTCATACCACAAATTATTTGATATTTTTACCTAATCATTTAAATGGCATGGCTGAGTAATACAAAAACTAATTATAATTTTCTTTTCCAGGTCTTTAACAAAGTGATAATGGTGTTTGCATCTCTTTGTCGGGAAATGGATCAGCTGAAGCATGAGGTGAGAACCATTTGTAATCATAGCTTATATTTTTCCTAACCTCAATGGGGCTTGGAAAAATTTTCTGCAACTAGCAAAATTATTGCCTGTGTTGTAAGTTAAACCATCAAATAAGGATTTGGTATTCAGGTATCATTTCATTTTCCAGTATTTAGCTTCAAGTTTTTCTAAAATACATCCTGCAGCCTTGTCTGAGCATTGCATTGATGACATTTTAATTTTTTTTTATGCGATTGTAATTACTTCTATTTAATTGCTACAAGTAATAAATATGATTTTTTGTTTTTTTGTAGTACTCTTTTACATAATTTCTTTCTCAAATATAATGACGAGAAATTGAAAACAAAAAACTTTTGAATGTTTTAGGCCACAACAAAGTTCTTCACTCCTCTGCTGCTCTATGAAGAAGCAGGTATGTGAGGGAAGGAAATTAAGTAAATATCACAGAAAAGATTTGTCAGAGTAGAAAAGGCCAGGTTTTTGAAGCCTCTAGTTCTAATTGTGTTGAAAATCAAGATTATGATGAGTTATTGATCATACTATGCCAGAACCAAGTTGTCTTCAAGGAGTTATAAACAACCACGCAAGCCAGCGATTTACTATGTTTGAAAACCATATAACTTTTTGATTGAGTTCGAATCAAATGGCAAATCCACAGGATACCTGTAATTAAATTAGCTTTGTGCATAAATATTCTTTAGTTTTCCTTTTCTGACTTTTATTTCCTTTTACAAATTTCATAAGTTGTTTCATTGTTTTCATGTTTTTGCATATTTTGTGTTATAGTGGTTGTTTCTCCTGTTTTCTTTTGAAATGGTGTGGGTAAGTAAGAAAGCCACACAGGGAATTGACCCCCTTGTGTGTGCACAGCATGTTCAAACATGTTGTCAATGATAATAAGGGACTTCACTGTGCATGTGTATAATCAACACATTTGACAAAGATCCTCTAAACTTCTTGTTTTATTTCAGGAGTTTGTATTGTTTTGTACACATTAATCAATCAGATGGTCATCCAAGATATGATTGGGTTATGTGTGCCATGTATCACAAAATCCTCAAATCTGATTGGCTATGTCCCCCTGTACACTAATTAGTCTGTAATTTTTTTTTAATTTCAGGAGCAGATAAAGAACAGGTGCAAGAGGGAGATAACCAAGTCCGTCTTGGAAGAATGTTACCCCTGCTACAAGATATTTCCAGTTTTGTAACACGGGCATATGAGGTTGTCAAGAATGTGATCCAGCAGTTAGCTTCATTACATTCAAAGTGAGATTTATAGTTTCATAAGTTGCTCTGCACCTTTCCTCAATGTTATGTACACCATGCAAAAAGTGTGAAGAAGTCACAAGCATTTTTCTTTTTTCTTTGTAGAGAGGGTCCTAAAGTGATGGATGTGACTGGAGTTCATTTTACAGTAAGGAGTTTTTCCCTTCATTTTAACTAATTATACCCTAGGATCAGTATGTAGATTCTCTATGCAGTTCTTGATACATCTCTTAAGGTATTGAAAAGGAGAATTTGTTTAATAATCAAGAACTTTTCTAATTGATGATCATTTCTTTTGTTCTTGTGACCTTAATGATTAATTCAAGGGTGATATTTTGTGGAGAAATTTGATGCTATGGCAGTCTCTCCTAGTGGTCAAAAGGCTCCTGTTAGGGCGTACAGTATGACCAAAAAAGATTCCCATATCCCTTGTTTTAGTTTTGGTTTTTATGGTATTTGTGATGTTATTTCTAAACGTTGATTATCACCTTTATTACTTTTTTCTATTATTTGATAATTGCTCAATGTATCAGGCAGATAAAGGAGTATGAATCTGCTTGAAATAAAGTGAAATTATTGGCTCACGTCATCATCATTTTTCTAAGATGTTTCCCATTTTGACAGACTGTTTTTGAACATCTTGCTGGACTACTGGGAGTGCTGATCACTTTGGATGAGGTTATGGATGCCAGTCACACTCTGAAGGAACACTGGAAGCAATACAGGAGGTAACTTGCCTTGTTTGTCACTTCATACAGTTGGTTGGTCAGTCAGTTGGTCAGTGAAATCTGAGTCAAAGAGTTAGTCAGTCAGTTAGTTACTTTTACAGTCAGTCGTGTAGCCAGTCAACCAGTTAGACAGTCAGTCAGTCAGTCAGTCTGTTAGTCAGCAAGTCAGTTAGTGAGTTGGTAAGTCAGAGCTAATTAGTCATTCAGTTAGTCAGTGAGTCAGTGAGTATGTCACTCAGTCAGTCAGTCGTTAGATTAGTCAGTCAGTCAGTCAGTTACTAGTCAGTCGGTCAATCAGTCAGGGAGTCAGGCAGTGAGTCAGTGACAATCAGGCAGTGAGTCAGTGACAATCAGGCAGTGAGTCAGTGACAATCAGGCAGTGAGTCAGTGACAATCAGGCAGTGAGTCAGTGACAATCAGGCAGTGAGTCAGTGACAATCAGGCAGTGAGTCAGTGACAATCAGGCAGTGAGTCAGTAAATCTGAGTCAAAGATTCTGTAAGTCAGTGAGTGAGACCTGAGTCCTTTACTCGATTGTATCAGTACATTTACTGGTGTTGCAACAATAATTTCAATGTAAGTAAGCTTCTCTGCAAAACTCTTCCATATCTATGAGATGCATGCTTGATTTTCATATTCATAAAGCCTTTTCTTTAACTTATAGAATGTTAAAATCAGTGCACAACAATACTGCTTTGTTTGGGATTGAAGAGGCAAAGCTTCGGCGACTTGAAAAACTTCTTATGAGTTTGGAAGGACAGCTCCTTGATGGTGTTATTTTGCAGGTACAGAAAAGTAACCACTGACCTTGGATTGTATGATGGATAATATTAAGAGAATTATTAAATTTTTATTTTACCAGATTTTTTTTGTAAAAGGTTATCAGTACATGGCCTCATTGCTTTAAGTTCTGCTGCAATTCAGTAATTGGTTTGTTTTCTTGGGCTGTTATCAAAAAAAGCAAAAAGTCATGTCAACTTACCTACAACCAACTCGCAGACACTGTTAGTCAACTTGCAAACACTTTTCAGTTAACCCTTTAACTCTCAAGATCTGATTGTTAATTCTCCCCTTTAGCTGTTACACATTTCCTTGTAAATAAGCTACAAGAATTTGGTATTAGATCAGGATAACTTCTACCTGATAAGTTTGAATATTCTCATGACCTGTTTGCTGAATAATGTTTATGGGGAGAAGTTACATGTCAATCACTTCTGGGAGTTAAAGGGTTAAGTCAACTCACCATTACTGGTCAACTTGCCAATAACTTTGGTATACCAGTGAGTTGACCAAAGATGACTTGATCTGTTAGGTAGTTTGTTGATAGAGTTGCTGAGTTGGTTGTTGGCAAGTTGTTGTGTCAGTGAAGTGACCAGGTACTTGTTAGGCAAGACACTTTACCCTCACAGTGCATCTCTCCAGCCAGGTGCACAAACTCGATGTAAGTGGTAGTGGACTGTCAGAGAAGCCTTTTTTTTTGGGGGGGGGATCATGGACCAACATCTCAGGGGGGTGAGTTTAATCCTAGTCACTGAAAATGAGATGAGCTGCAGTAGGATGATCCTCTGGTTTACAAGCTGACTTTCCTTTAATCTTTTTGATGTAAATGTATTTCAGAACTGTATTGAGCAGCCATTTGATGGTCAATTTGTGAGAGTGGCCAGAAATAATGAATTTGGCGAGGAATTCCTGTTCAATATCAAAGTCATCTTTCAAAGTCTTGATACAAGAATGAGTAAGTACTAAAAACAATTTCCAATAATTTTGTAGTAAGAATTGCTTTTTCATTTTAATGTTTAGCCTGCAAATTTTTTTTGGGAAATGCTGATTTATTTCTTCTCTTGTTTTGTTTTCAGACGAGCCTCATGAGGTTGATCAGCGCCATAAGATTGTTGGTCTGCTTGGCTTGTTTATCTTGCAACATCAGATATACAAGGGCATTGACAGAAGGTTCTTCAGCAAGTTTTGGGACATTCACAAAAAGGTGGGGTTTAGACTTGATCCACAAAAAAAATAAAAAAAAATTTAAAAAATTTATAATTGCTTATCACACCAAATTGCATGAGAAATTATGTTATTGCTCGTTAACAACTTAAAATTTAAAAACATCTTGTAGAAATCAAAACAGACAAATTTTGAAATTATGTTATTGCTCGTTATTTTTTCATTTAAACTCGTGTCACAAAAAAAGTCAAAACAGACGAAATTTTGAAACTTTGCACAACTATTTGTAATTTGAACCCGTGTTACAACTTTGTACAACTTTGCACTCGTGTTACATAAGAATGCACTCTTTTTCAGCCAATCAGAAGCGCGTAATTTTTTCATGTACACTGATACATAATAAACGCAACTTAGTGAAAATACATGTACTTGTCAGCTAGCATCCGTTTGGATTGCTACTCGGCAAATAAAGTATCTAGTTCAATTATCTGATTATGTTTATCATTGTCTTTGATGTAGACGTGACAAACCTCCAGTTTTCTCTTTTATAAATATCTGATGTATTCCTTTTCTTTTAGTCTTTTTACTCGATTTTTCGTATTTTGAAAATTAAGGTTTTGATGGTGGAATTTGAACAATTCTTTTTCCAGGTCCCAGCTGTGCATCTTGTTGGGGACATCATGTTCTTCCCAAATGAATTTCTCCTTCGAAGAATTCCTCACCTCAGCAAGATTGTGGACAAGAAACAGAGGCAAGCTGTGGAATCTTCTAAAGAACAGTATTTGACGAACTGTAATCAAAACTTGGTCAGGTGGGAGAAAATTAACATTTTTTTTTTTTTATAACTCATTTTCAAATACGTTTTGGTACGAGTCTGCAATTAATTGGTGGAGAGTTATTGCTAACACAGCGGTCAAACGAAGGGCATGCGCAAGGAGATCAATTTTGACCGGCCATGCGCTAATTTCCCGCGCAAAATTGCAATCTCGGTCACGCAAACTATGCACAGAAATATTGAAACGTTCAAAGAAATTTGTACAAGGTAACAAAAATAAGGCGGAGGACAACTCGAGACTTTTCCTGCACAAAACACATTTAATTACAGGTTTCATGTTCATTAACATTGCAGGTTTCATGTTCATTTACCACTTTGTTTTGAGCTTCACCAAAAAAGTTATATGGTTTTTAAACACCGTGACTTACTGGTTTGTTTGGTTGTTAACAACACGTGTTCGACTACTTGGTTCGAACACCATAATAGCACGCGACTTAGTGATAACAAAATTCCCACATGTACAGACGTTTGAATGCTATATTATTATTGTTACTCCTTCTGAATGGGCTCGTAACACTCCAGGTTTTGTCAGATTTCCCGAAGGTTTGCTGGTATTAATTTGTTCTTGAGAGGATATAGCCGCTGACAGCGTTAAGTGCCCTTCCTGAGATCACAACACAATAACTCAGCTAGGATTTGAACCCAGACCCTTTGATCCAGAGTTCAACCTGCTGGCGTAAGACCTTCACGTTTCAAGCTTGATGTCAAAATACTGTATTCAACTACATGATGCTTATGTTTTTCGTCTCAGGGATGCACAACTGTACCAGATGCAAGTCAGTTCATGGATGGTTCACATGGAGTCCAGTCTAAACAAGGGAGGCACCTTAGTCGATGATCTCAACACGCGATGTGTTCTGTTTATTAAGGTAACTTGTGAACCCGTTAGCTCCATCTTCTAACCGATCACTTTCATATTCTCCATAGTGTTCTCTTACATTTCCTGAGGTGCTGACAAGGAGAATTTGTTAAACAATCCAGAGCTTTTTTTAGTCGGTGATCATTTGCGTCATTCTCATGACCTTAATGCGAGTTGTTGGACTGATATTGTATGGAGAAGTTAGATGCTAGTCAATCTAAAGGGTTAAAGATTTAACGTGTAGGAAATCGCACGCTATTGGAAACTCGCTTTGGTTCAAGATTTTTGAGAATGACTAAAGTGAGTTATTTTTTTAAGAGTGGTTTGCACAGGCCTCAAAATATTCTTGCTGAAAGCTCGACCAAAGAAACCTCAGTTCTTGATAAAAATAAACAAGCAATGCTTTTTCCCAATATTTCACATATTTCAGGGTGTCCTTATAGCGCACACTGTGAGTCACTTGGTGCGCACTATCATGAATTTGCATCTGGTGTTATCTAAACCGCTGACCAAGTCGTGTGTAATGGCCCTGTGCAGGCTCACAGAGCTTTTAAAGGTAAGAGCTTCTGCATTTGCAAGACTACAGTAAGTGTTTCCCTTAAGCTATGAGTGCAAAAGGAAGAATTGAAAATATTACATTGACCAGGAACTCAGTCACTAGCATTTTCTCCGGCTTCTTAATCAATGTTAATAAAGAAGTTGACGATGAAAAACCAGAAATACACGAAACAAAATAAATTGTACAAGCGTGAGTGCACCTTTGACTTCTTGGGAAGGTAACTTAGCTTGTAAGTCTTCAATTGGAGAGATTCGCCAAGATGTTTTCCGTAGTTCAGGTTGAAGACCATCTCACTAAGAAATGGAAACTTCAATTAGCAGGAGTTTAAATGTTCACACGGCACTTGGAGTTTTCTTCGTCTCATGCTCATCGGGAGTTGATGTCATTATCTTATGTGAAAAGTGACGATTTTCCCCAGATTTGCACATCAGTTCTGTATTTTGAGTGATGTTTTAGGATTCCTAAACGTGGAAAGTGATCAAAACCCACGAAATTTACAATAATTTCATGTAATATGTAGATTGAGTTAGATTCTCCACAAACGCGCATGGTTACCCGCCTTCTTGGGTTGTCCTTGAACAATCATTGCAGTGCATCATCAAGTTCATCTGTCTTTCTCTGTAGGCCATCGAGCACACGTTTCATCGGCGCAGTATGCTTATAGCGGAAAGTGTCAACCACATGATCCAACATTTGACGTTCATGGCATTAGCTTGTATTGACACCGCTAAGGTACGTGTACTGTACATGTGACTGTGGTATTGCCACCACTAAGGTTGGTGTACTGTGCATGTCTGTTGTACTGACAGTGCTAAGGTACAAGTACTGTACATGTGGCTGTTGTATTGACACTGCTTTGGGAGGTGAGCCGTGCAATTGATTCTTATATTGACACCGTTAAGGTATGTGTACTGTACACGTGACTGTTGCATTGACACCGTTAAGGTAGGTGTACTATACATATGGCTGTTGTATTAACACCGCAGAGGTATGTGTTCTGTACATGTGGCTGTTGCATAGACTTTTATTGTGGTCGGTTATGTGCCTTTAAGTGATAAATGTCTTCATTCCACAGATAAGACGTTCTACTTGTAGGAAGTAGTCAAAAAGTCTTTTCGAAAGATTTCTTTGTCTGCACAGGTTATAGTTAGGGTCCAAAGGTTTTCATATACAGCCACTGGCATTTGTATTAAGATTGCAATATTTTTATTTTACAGAAACGTATTGCAGCCGACAAGAAATACACAGACAAACGACTTGTGAGTTCAGCATCTTACAACTTTCTTTTTGCTTTGAAACGCGAAGACAAGTTTTTTCCTGCGCTAGATAACTTCGCACGCGCGAAAAAAACCCATTGGATTCTTCAATGTAGAGTCAAAAGCCATTAACTCTTAGTGGCTTTATTTTTTAATTCCCTGTAACAAATCTGTGTGATTCAACACTAAGATATCCATTTAAAGAAGGTAATCGTTTAGAGATCCAAGTTGCCTCGATGACCGGTTGTTGATCAGGTTTGAATGTTTGCGGCGTAAATAACAGTCAGCCGAACAGTCAAAGGATCTTCGAGAGACTAGAATCAAGGCATATAGAGGCGTGCTATCACTGAATTAACATCGGGCGTCTTTACAGGGTGTGGCTATGTAAAGCATAAACTTGAAGTTCGTTGAAAACGATCTACTCTATGGAAAATTGATTTGATGACTGAAATTTAGAGTTCTTGAGAAATTGCTATTGTTTATGCTTGGGCACGCTATCAATTTTTGTTTCTTTTTTGAACGTAATGAAAAAAATTGTTTCTTTATTTTAGGACGTATTGGCAGCGCTTGTCTTAGTGCAGAATGCTCTTAATGGTCCAGGTACTTTGAACAATGAGTGATTTACATTTAATTTCTCCCGACGATTTCAATGCATTATCTAGGAAACAGGTGGTGAGAATCGACACACTTATCAAGTGAAGGGTGTTGTCTTGATGAGTCATAAAATTCTCTTAAATTATTGAGGAGGAAATTTATAGGAGCTAGAGCGGAGAATTGATAAGTCAGATCCAAGTAGTTTACTCTTGGGAGTGGTCAGTAAAAAGTGGTAATATACTGAGCAGGAGAAGCTTTGTGAATTAAAACAAACCATGATGTAGAGGACATATTTTTGTAAATCACTGAACTTGTGGATTTTTAGCCCGCGAGCAGGCCCTCATAATTTGTGCTTCAGCACGAGAGGTTCTTCGCCTGCGAGAATTATGAAGCCTTGAGAAACGCAAGCCGGTGAGAGGCTTTAAGTATCAGACTCCGGGCAAACCTTTCCTCGACTCGTCTCAAATCTTCCCGCGGGCGGAGGAACGCGTGTCCTGCTGCGCTAATGATGATGAGGGCCTTCAGGTAGGCTAGCGAATTTTTTTAAATGCACAAGCCAATGCGGTACTGTTAGAGGAGAGACTAAGCAGGCGTCAGAACACTGGGTTACCCTGTTGTAGTGATAAAAATACTGTAACATTACACTGATTGTGACAGAATTTCTGTTGCTTTGGTTTTTTTCTTCAGCCACAAAGGAGCGCAGACTTATTGCCATGTTAGGCCTTCATGTGGGCGTTCAAATGGTGAGTTTCTCCATTATTTTTTTTAACATCGTTAAGCGTCTAGTTGTGGATAGAGGATTTAACACGTAGTTTTGGTGACAGTCTGTGCGTCATTAATGTAAAGATCGTGAATATTGTACATAGTTTCACCATTTTAACTTTTGATTGACGCAGAAATCTTTCAGAGATGACGAGATGGCCAGTTTAACCAGTGTAATGAAGCGAATTAACCTGGTCAGTGATCTGAGATCAAGAGTTAAAAAAGCTTGCGATTGTGGATTTCTTCATTGGCATAGGGCAAGTTACTTGCTTTCTTATCTTTTAACTTTGTCTTGCTTTTTCCAGGCGCGCAGATCGTAAAACGAAGCGCGATAGTGAACGGCAGATTAGTAACAGAGAAGTGGATGAAAGAGGGAGATTTCGGTTTACATACGCTTGTTTTATTGTTGGTTTAATCGTTAGCTAAATGCTGAGTCGTCGTCGTTCGTCTGCTTGTTGGTTCGTCAGTTCGTCGGTTTGTCAGTTCGTCAGTTCCTCTGTTCGTCGGTTCATCGGTTCGCCCATTTGTCTGCTTGTTTACATGTCGTTCGTTAGTTCGTCAGCTGTTTACATGACATTCGTTGGTTTGTCGGCTGTTTACGTATAGTTCGTGGTTTTATCTCCTTGGGCTCGTTCATCGGTGTGCTTTTTAACTTGCACGTGCGAATTCACTGGAAGGCTTCTGGTTATAGGTTTTAAAGCTTACTTACATTAGTCCTTTCCCTCACTGAGCAATCAGTCAAGTTCGGCTAATAAGTGCGTTGTTTTTACAGAATAAACAACCTGAGGCTCAGGAAATTTGTACTTATACTTTGGGACGTTTAAAGAATAATGACAAAGATGGATGATCGTTTTATTTTTCTTTCTGTTGTAGGTTGTGTTTCCAACTTACTTGACAGACTTGTATGACAGTGCTACAGATGTGCATCGAATTCATGTAAGTTTCTTAATGAGTCATAGGGCACCTAGATCTTTCTATGCCTCTCTCCGCACAAGAAAATTAAACGCAACCTCGCCCAAGCATTAGGTCGATATCGGTGGATAGACGGCCATGCCATTACACGTTTTTGCTTTATGGTGAAGTGAAATTGCGAAACTCGGGTGAAGGGTGAAGTGGAGAGTGCGAGGGGGGAGTGAGGAAGGGAGTACAGAAAGGCCAATCCAGAGAGATGGTCGTACGTAAGGTTGCTGCTATTTAGCCCTCATTTGCTGTAAAAACAGTCCTCCTTAAATACTCAGTAACTTTATTGGGCTCAAGTCAACCTTTCCTTTTTTTGAGGAGGGAGGAATCCATCGATAATTTGTTTTATATCCTTTTCGTAACGTATAACATAAGTTCAACTTGGTTTCTTTCAGTACATGATTAGCGCATTGGGCGATTGTGTTCCAGTCCTTCAGCGAGTGAAACACGAACCATCACCGCAAGTCATGCTGGAATTATTTGAGAAAGAAATTGGTGACACACTACATGAAGTGAGTATGCTGATTAAAAAGTTCCTCTCAGTTCCCAAGGCTAGGATGTTATCTTGAGGTCTGTTGAATGATTTTATGACTTATGAATGAGTTTTCGGACTCTTCATGAGGAGGTGTTATTATATCAAAGAATCTGCTTAAAATCGATCTTCCAAGGTTAATAGTTCAGGGCGTGAAATTAATTTTTTTTTCTGATAGCCACTTGGCTCCTAAATTCTTCAAAGTTTTTGTTTTCAAAGACAAAAAAACCCTTTTTTACTCGTTTAAGATAGACCCTCCAAAATTAATTAGGGAAAAGATCTCTAACGACACTAGGATGGATGATATACAACATTCAAGCTCACCTAAATCCAAGATGGCGTCTAGTTATCGATGTCATCTGAGTTTTGGAAACAAACTTCCGCGGATTTATCTTTTCTTTTTGATTCACTATATCTCTCGTGAGGTTGTGTGAAACATTCTAGTCGCCAATTTGTAATTTTTTGGTCGGTCAAAGGGAAAAATTTAGTCGCATTAAATTTCACGCCCTGTAGTTTTGTTTCTCCTGCAGGACAGTCACTGTCAATTCCTTTTGTGTTTAGTGTTTGCAGTAAAATTTAACCCTTTCACTCCCATGAGTGACCAAGAGAGAATTTCTCCTCACAGTGTCAATGCAACATCAAGCAGACAAGTGACGAGAATAAAGAAAAATAGCAATTAGGGGAATTTTTAGCAGATCCAATACCAAATTCTCCAAAGTAACTTCATAAGAGTTGTATGGCAGATAGTAAGGAGAATTATTGATGAGATCTTACAATATACCGATGGTTATGGAGTACATTCGAATCTCTCTACTCACGGAGAACCTCACCGTTTATTATTTACATTCGTTTTTGTCAATCGTGACTCGTGAAAGCTGTCTCAAACAACATAACGTAATATTTTTAGGCCTAAATCACTAAAGTTTAAAGCATCCTATTTACTGCACTCGTAAACATCCAAGAGATGTGTTTTTGGAAACCAAATTATTACTTCGTATAATTCAGCTTTGCCCCTTAGTTTCTTTTGTCGGTTGGACAGCGTCTCATTCTGTTTTCAAGTCTTCCAAATGACATCATGCTAGTGACTTCTTCAAAACGGACTTTTTGATCTCAATAGTTCCTGCACTGAGCCAGCGTGACAGGAAACTAGCTTGACCTTACGTGACACTTTTCAGGGGCATTATAGTAAAGTCTGTATTGGTAATATCGCGATAGTAAGGTAGCGTGAGACGGTCCCTTAAGCAAGTTCCATATCTTTGATGTTTTCTTTGTTCAGAACTTGCTTCAACCACTGTGTCGTGACATTGAAACAGATCTACGACTTCACATCCATCAGCATCTACAGTTAGATGACAGAAATCCTTTCAAGGTTTGTTCATTAGTTATGTGAATGGTTATTCAGCTGATTTCCTCTTCCTCTATCCGCCTGACTCATTGCCTGTTTGTTCTTATCTATCTGTTCCTCTGTTTTTTTTTTTCTGTCAGTTTGTCGGGCTATCTGTGTCTGTCCACTGCTTGCCTGTTCTCTGTGTCCTCTGCAGGTCTTTCTCTGTGTCCTCTGCAGGTCTTCGTCTGTGTCCTCTGCAGGTCTTCTTCCGTGTCCTCTGCAGGTCTTCGTCCGTGTCCTCTGCGGGTCTTCGTCCGTGTCCTCTGCGGGTCTTCGTCCGTGTCCTCTGCGGGTCTTCGTCCGTGTCCTCTGCGGGTCTTCGTCCGTGTCCTCTGCGGGTCTTCGTCCGTGTCCTCTGCGGGTCTTCGTCCGTGTCCTCTGCGGGTCTTCGTCCGTGTCCTCTGCGGGTCTTCGTCCGTGTCCTCCTCCGGGTCTTCGTCTGTGTCCTCCGCGGGTCCTCGTCTGTGTCCTCCGCGGGTCCTCGTCTGTGTCCTCCGCGGGTCCTCGTCTGTGTCCTCCGCGGGTCCTCGTCTGTGTCCTCCGCGGGTCCTCGTCTGTGTCCTCCGCGGGTCCTCGTCTGTGTCCTCCGCGGGTCCTCCTCTGTGTCCTCCGCGGGTCCTCCTCTGTGTCCTCCGCGGGTCCTCCTCTGTGTCCTCTGCGGGTCTTCGTCCGTGTCCTCTGCGGGTCTTCGTCCGTGTCCTCTGCGGGTCTTCGTCCGTGTCCTCTGCGGGTCTTCGTCCGTGTCCTCTGCGGGTCTTCGTCCGTCTCCTCTGCGGGTCTTCGTCCGTCTCCTCTGCGGGTCTTCGTCCGTCTCCTCTGCGGGTCTTCGTCCGTCTCCTCTGCGGGTCTTTGTCCGTCTCCTCTGCGGGTCTTTGTCTGTTTCCTCTTCTTCACTTGTCGGTCTTCCTTTCTTGCTTCTTGAGTGCTCCCTGAGTCCATCTGTTTGTATTAGTCTGTCCATTTGACTTCCTGTCAGCCCGCGAGCAGGCTATCTTTATTAGTTCTTCAGCACGAGCGTTTCCTCCTTTGCGGGAAAATAAGCGGCCTTGAGCAACGCTAGCCAACGAGAGGTTTGCGAGGGATTTGGTACCAATAATGAGTACCAGACCCCAGCAAATCTCTTTTTGACTCGTCTCCAATCTCCCGCCGCGCTAATATTTAGGGCCTGCTAGCTCTCTTCTCTCTCTCTGTCTCTCTGTCTGTCGATCTTCCTGTCTGCATAGTGTGGTGCTCTCAACTTAATTTTTAATTTTTCCTTCGTTTAGGTTGGAATGAGAGACCTTTCTCAGTTTTTGAAAATGCGGCCGATTAGATTTTTTCATCAGTTCATCAACATCAAACGTGAGTTCTTCTAAAACTTGCTGTACTGTATTTCAGCCTTTGCAGTCATTTGGAGGAAACGTACTGAGAACTTTTTTTGATATGGTTCTGTTTATTATTTTGAGTGAGGTGGTTCTAATTTCCAGTTTGCTGAAAAACTCCAGCACCAGCGGTGCTTTTTTGGTGGTAACTTTTATTGCGCCGTGAAAGGCGATTTTTAAGTCTGTAAATGAAACCCTGGTGTGTGAGAATTCGTTTGAAAGCTAGAGAGCAGTACTTTCTGGTTGTATTATTTATAATATTGTACTAGGTGTTGTGTACTTTAAGGGGTTAGGATGAAACCTGTCTGTGTGATCATTCAAAAGAAAGCTTTCGTGAGTTAGTTTTTTAATTTTTTTTTCTTCGAAAACGTGTAGGAAAACTTGTTTATTTTTTCTTGTAGAACATGTGACTCATTACCTTGATGCGACATTCTACAACTTGACTACAGTGGCCCTTCATGACTGGAGGACTTACGGTGAGATGAGAAACCAAGCCAAACAGAAGTACGGCCTGGAAATGACTGAAGCTCACCTGCCCAGCCAAACTCTTGAACAGGTGATTACAGAGAAACATCAAAGACCAAATTCTACTCAAAGAAAATTTGGTTTTATCAACTTAGTTGATGATGTAAATTGGCCACTGTAAAGAGTTTCTAAAGTTGACGTATTCGTTCTTTCGTATTCGTTCGTTCGTATTCGTTTGTTGTTTGTTCGTCCTTTCGTTGGCACGTCGGATGTCTTCGTTTGTGTGTTCGTTGTTGCGTTAGGTCGGTCGTTGATCCATCTGTCTATCTTTCCTCCCTTCCTATTGTTTTATCCGTCCATTCATTCATCTATCAGTCTGTTTACTCGTTTATCCAACACCCGATCGATATATCACTAGTCCATTCACTCATCTGTACATTCAAGCTCTAATGTTTTGTTTAGCCATTTGGTTGAGATGCCCTTATCCCATCATCTTTTCCGTAGGGTCTGGACGTGTTGGAAATCATGCGGAACATTCACGTGTTCGTTTCTCGATATCTTTACAACCTCAACAACCAGGTTAGGAAATGTATTTTTGTGCAATTCTTGTCAACAATCAATGCTTTGAGATGATACCTGAAACCTTTGTCGTCGTTTTTTTGTTTCAGATTTTTGTCGAGCTCGCATCAAATAATAAACATTTGAACACTATAAATATCCGTCATATAGCCAACTCCATTCGCACGCACGGCTCAGGGATTATGAACACAACCGTGAATTTTACTTATCAGTTTCTGCGCAAGAAATTCTTCATCTTTTCCCAGTTCTTGTACGACGAGCACATCAAGGCAAGACTCATCAAGGTACGTGATGATGATGATGTAGTGGGGAAGGGGGCATTGGGAGGAGGGGAGGTTGGCTCCCCTCTAAACGAAACTTTTAGGGGGAACAGATTCCAACTCCGCTCACGTTTCGGTACGGAAATTAACATCGCGAGAAACTGGCCTGGACGAGAGATTTTGTTCCGTGAATATTTTAAAATTCGTTTCATTAAGACTGCTCCGGTCAAAAAGTATTTTCTGTCATAAGACCACATACAACCACGTGCTGGATTTTACTGAAAGCCATTTTTGAAAAATCCCCGTACGATAGTTCTATGCGAAGTCGCGAACAGGGCCGGTGAAAGCTGCGCCGCCCTGCGTTCGATTTCGCGAGATGCAAAGTGCATAGGAATGAGAAGAAGGGGAAAGAACTACGGTCGTATGAAAAAATGGTCAATCACTGAGTTTGGTTGGACCAGACAGGAAAATGTTTGGCTCGAGGTCATGACGTGGGGACCGAGCATAATTAGCTGCTATGATAGTTCATCTTAGAAATTTCTTTGAACGATTGCCCAGCTATGAAATGTCACAAATCGATTACGATCACAGAGAACACTGTTAAGATTGCACAGAGGTTTGCTAGTGCCGACGAACTATGCAGAGGACATTTTGGAAAATTAGGGCAGAGGTGGGTGCTTAGCTTGGCGCTTTAGTCCCCCATTTCCCCTTCCCCTACGTTTTAAAGCGCTCCACCACCTCTGTGATATCATGCGATAAAGCACACAGTGACCTACGCGCTTCTATGGTCCGTTTATATTGACTTTGTTTACGTTCTAGGTTCTCGCTTACTAAGCAAGGGTCTTTAGCAATAACCGTGGCTCATGTTACCATTCAACGCTTCTTTTTCAGGACATTCGCTTCTTCAAAGAGACGAAGGAACAGTCGGATCAAAAATACCCGTTTGAACGAGCCGAGAAGTTCAACAAGGGAATCAGGAAACTTGGTTTGACTCCTGAGGGTCAAACATATCTGGATCAGTTCAGAACCCTGATCAGCCAGATTGGTAAATTGTCAGCTCTGTTGGAACCTTAAAAAATGCTGCGGCGATGAAAAATTCCTCGTCTCGTTGTCTCTTTCTTCTACGAGAAATCGTCGTCAAAAAAGCGTTTCGTTTTTTAATATAAGGCGTCAGTGCTAATTTGCTTCTCTATGCGATATATATGCTACACCCATGGTCAGAGATTTTCATCTAATAGTGTTAAGCCTTTGTTTACTAAAAAAGCAAGCAAAAGAAATAATGTTTTCAGATTTTTTGTTTCTTACTTTTTTATAGGGAATGCAATGGGCTACGTTCGTATGATTCGCTCTGGAGGTCTCCATTGCTGTAGTAATGCAATCAGGTAAAACATTTCGTCTCAATATTTATCTGTTGTAATTTTTGCTATTTTGAACTTAAGCTTCCCACTGCGTGCCTCGCATTGGTGCAGTGTATGCTTGGCTGTGATCGTATATTCTGATACTCACTGAGGGGCGTTTCTATCGAGTTTCGAAGAACCAAAATGAACCAATCAGAACAAGAAGTGAAAGTAAGGTAACCGACTGAATCACGAGAAAATGCGGGCGCGGGGGTGGCGCGAGTTTTTTAAACCAATCTTAGAGCGAAGTATAAGAACATCAGAAAATCAAAATTCTTTGCAGGCAAAAATTTCCCTGTTCCTAGCAATTCATGGAATCCTCTCCTGTACTGACAAGAAATGGTGTTGATTATCTCCGTAGATTCGTTCCTGATCTCGAAGACATTGTGTCTTTTGAGGAACTGGTGAAAGAAGAGAACCTTTCAGAAGAATCACAACAGGCGTCCAAGTGAGTTTAATAAGAAACTAATACTGTTACCCTTTGAAAAGCAAAGGGCGCCAACGGGACGCTTTCCAATCTGCTGATCTGAGCAGTGTGGTGTACTTGTCACAATGGTCTTGTGAAATCAGAACTGGCTGGGCACGAACCCTAGTGGGACTCAGATATTTTTCATTGACGCGTGTGTTATTGGCGTCTCCGTGATCACATAAATCAAGATGGACTGATTTCTCTTATTTTTTTAATTTCCTTGTTCACTCGTAGATATGCGAATTGTAGGAACGAGTACTGTGGGGATTCGATATACAAATTTTGTGACGTTAGCCCGGCCCTAGAAATTTAGCAAGAGTATGCGTCTTATCAAAGATGGCGGACAAATTGTTCAATATGGCGGATCAATTGGGGCAGACTTTTGTGGGAATGACGGCTCGATTCTATTTCTTAGAATCATAGGATCATCGGCCTTTAGAACAATCACTGTAAATTTTATTTATATTCTACATAGAATATCTACGAGTTCTTTATAGCGTCACTTTACATGCATGTAAGTCTGTTTTGGATCGGATTTCCTCCTTAGGGAAGGGTTTAAGATTTCACACGAGCCCTTAAATAGTGGTTCGTGATTGTTTTGTGCGCGGTAAGGGCAGGCTTAGACGCCAAAGGATTTATGAAAAACTAAGTCCACCAATCTCGCGGTTTGTGAGTCTCTAAAACGAAAGCAGACCTACTGCTCTTGTCGTGAACTTGGTGGTCATTAGATTAGTTATTTGATTTATAGATTGTTCTTGTTTTAGAAACCTGGATGCTGCAATTAACGACTTGGCCAAGAATTTCGCTGGTGCGACAGAGTACTTCAAGGTAACTCACGATTAGTTCCTCATAGGAAAAGTAGTGCCTTCCCTCCTTTATTCACATCCCCCTTTAACCAGGTGTGTTTCCTTTACTTATACTGACAGTGTAATGTTTTTTTTCCTCGTTAGCTTCTCGTCGATGTGTTCGCACCAGAATTCAGGGACAGCAAAAACATGCATCTTAGAAACTTCTATGTCATCGTACCTCCTTTGGTAAGCTTGTTCCCTGGAGCTAATTTTTGTTTCTTTTGTTTATTTTCAATCGAGTGTCAATAATAAAAGGATTGTTTTTCCTTTGCTTTACTTCTTCTCGTGATTGGTCCAGAAATCTTGCGCCTTTTTCTCAACCAATCATATTCAAAACTGAAACGAATCGTGACTTGGTCACCCTCGTTTTCCCGCACTTTAGGCAATTTGCCCGTTTTTACTTTGAGTTGCCATTGGCTGCTCTTGACATTTCCCTTTTGTCTGATTGGCTGTTTTAATAACTGTGATTTTGGTTTTACCTCATGCGACACGTGAAGCGTTCTATTTACTTCCGATGTGATAGCACTAGAGTTTTCACTATCTTCAAGTTAAACCAGTCTCGCATTTTATCCTTTGCAGACTCTGAACTTTGTGGAATACATGCTTAGTTGCAAGGAAAAGCTCACTAAGAAGAACAAAATTGGAGCCTCTTTTACTGATGATGGCTTTGTAATGGGTGAGTTTCACTGACGTATTCGGTTTTTCCGACATTGGTGATTCTAACAGTATGTAGAACACTTGCCAAAGCAATTTCTCTGATACAGAATTGCTTTCAATGATTTTTCCTCTTTTTTTTCGCTCTGTGATCGACCCAGAAAACTAGTGTCGTTCTCTCAGCCAATCAGATCCAAAACTGAAACCAGAAATAGAGCTGTGGCTCGGTTGCCTTGGTGACGTCATTGAGGCACAGGAGATTCTGCCCTCCTATGTAGGTACCTTTAACCACCCTCATGAACAACCTACTATCTCTTCCAGGGGTGGCGTATATCTTAAAGTTACTTGACCAGTACAAGGAGTTTGATTCTCTTCACTGGTTCCAGTCGGTGCAGGAAAAATACGAGAAAGAAAAGGTAAATTAAAGTATCTTCAAACAGTGGTTCGAATTCATATTTATTTTCGTTTTTTCCTCGTTTGCGAGAAGCCTGGTGCCTAGGGTTGATAGGGAAGCTTGGTGGTTCGCGCAGAGGGTTCTGGGTTGAGGAGTCTAGGTTCCAGCCCTGCTTGGGTCACTGTGCTGTGATCCTTGGTACGACACTGAACTCACCCAGTGCTTCTCTCTACCCAGGAGTACTCAGCTGTAAATAGGTACCTGTAAACTGACCAAATGTCTTTGGGGTGCATTGGGTACTTGTGATGTACTAGCATTGCTTTCAACATGTGCATCAATGCATCTATTCACAAGCTTGTTGTCTTAGTTGCGAGACAAGTCCTTCGTGATAGCCAACCATGATAACCATAACTAATCACAGCAGAGCATCATGCTTTATAAGATCACGCATGACCAGTCGACCTCATCGCCTGAGGAGGACTAGCAGTATGCAGTAGAAACGTCGCGATCTACATCACACGTGACTACATCGTGAGACAAACGAAAAACTTAGCTTTTATTGTTATTCACCACGATGAATAACCACAACCTTTTTACGCTAACCATGATGTTTTGTGTTTGTTACGAAAAGTTGATCCCGTATAATTGAACAATTCTTGGTGCTTATTATTAGTGATAATTTTGCAACGTTAACTTATAATTGTGTATGTCATTTCTCTAAGGCTGAAGTGAAGGTTTCACTGAGCCGTGGGAGTGCGCGAGACGAGAAACTACAGCAAACCATGAATCTAACATTGAAACGACTAAATACTTATCAACAGGTGAGTGTTGCTTGAGGAAACATGAGCAGGTCGTGTATAAATTGTCGCTGCTTTGCAGCCCCAAACCCGGGACGATTACCTGCAGGATCTTTATGTAGGGACACCTTATATGAACATTAAGATAAGCAGGCTGTTTATGTGAAGGATGGAGAATGTAATTTTCGCAGGTTATTGGGGTTGGTCAATTGTGGCGGGTCGCTCGCGCGAAAATTTCACGGAATGCTGGCAAATTTTTGCCAACTGCTGGCCAACTACCTTCGGTAATTTACCTGCGATCAGATCTAGTACAGTTGTTCGCTACCCACGACCGAAAAAGACTATAGAATCCCTTGAAGCTAGAAAATTAAACCGTTAAATCTCTGTACTCTATTTTGCAGGAGTTTGAGCTTGTCTACTTCTCGCTGAACAGTGCAAGAATCTTCTTCAGAGCAGACAAAACCGCCGACGAAGAAAAGGAGGAGAAAGAAAGCAAGGAGGCGTCCCCAGAAGGTAGAGAAACGTTAATATCATAGAGCTCTGGGAAAGTGAAAAGTGAGGCTTCCATCTCAACTGACTAAGATACAAAAGAAACTGATAGTCTTTGTCTCCGGCCCCTGTTGTACAACGCTCTTTAAAGGATCCTCAACCAAGAAATAACGTAAATTGCTTTGCGCGTAATAATGTACGTTCTAAATCTAATTTTTTTTGTATTTTCTCTTCCTATAGGACCCCCCTCAAATGAGGAAGCTGCGCCCCCCAGCCCCCCTGTCGACCCAACAGGAAGTTGAGTTGAGTTAGAGGCCCGAGGAAGTCACTTAAGATCTATCTCTGTGTGATGAGGGAAAAAACTTTGTTATTACTCTTTTTCGGAATGACAAGGAAAGGAAAAAAAATGTGCAGCAAGCGTATTTTCCAGTGAGCCAGTACCAGGCCTTTGATAATGTCAATATATAGATTACGAGCAGTCCCTGCTTTTTGTACACTCCCAGAGTTCCGCGCGGCGCGCTAACATAAATTTTCTTTCAAGATGAAACTACATGAAAAATAAGATAAAATACAAGAAAATAGATTTAGTGTAGCTTCTGGTACAGTGAATTTTTGAAGTTTTAATTTTAGTTGTCCATTCGTCAATTTGAATGAAACTAAGTGAAGATAAAAGACATCCCAGACCACGAAAAACGATTTTTGAGTTTTCGCGTTTTTACATTGTCCCTAAATGAACAAAGGTAGGTACAGGTGAACTATATGAAAAATCGTATTAAATAGTTTTTATTGCAATAGAAAATACTTTTTTTCTGTAATTTTTTTTTCTGTTAATTTGTGAAATAAAAAGCAGGAATGATGTGATTAACTTAGCACATTGATCTATCCGAATGATTGTAGAAATCCCGTTCGCTGCGCATGAATAATCGCTAGTTATGTTCTTCGGCGGTGGCTACTCTCGTAGCGAGTAGTCTGTGAACAAGGCATGAGATATGAATTTTTCGATCACGATGATTGTGGTCGCTGTGTTTGTTACGATCGCTGGGATCGCTGCCACTGTTAAACCGTGTGATGTCCATATGATGACTACCGATTGAGATCACGTTTTTCGGTTTCTGCGACGGTCGTAGAATTTATATCGATTTTATGGAATCTAGGCTTTACAATGTATATTTTTTTGGATCGCAGAATCAAGAAATAAGGTGGTTGTGACCAAGAATCTAGCTAATTATCCCAAATGAGTAGAACTAGTTATTGGATTATTTGGGTTATTAGTTTTTGTTAGAGAAACTGAAAATTAATCTTAATAAGAACTCGGAGTAAAACCAAGCAAACCTTTCTTTTTGAAGCACGGGAAAATGCGAGTGACTAAGGCGCGATTGATTTTTGTTTCAAATCTGATTGGTTGAAAGGATGGCACGATTTTTCTTGACCATTCACAGACCAAAGTCAAGCAAATCCAAAGAAAACAAGGATTACTGTTGGCGCAAATTAAAGTTCTTCTAAAATTAGTCTCAAACTTCATTGGTTTTGGTTAACTTTTGCGCTGTGATTTGTCGTAAAACTTGCGTCTATTAATCATCGCCCTGCTAGTCCTACTGATGACGTATTTCCTGTTTGATCAGCTGCGCACCTACCGTGATAAAATGGTAATGCATTTGTCATGCGCACTGACAGCCATGCAATCAGTGTACTTTGCCGCCGACCCAGAAGTGTCGAATCAGTGCTGTGATGGGAGGCCTGTGACATTACTTCGTCCTGTGCACATTTTTGTGGATGAGTATCATTGCACATAACAGTTAGAAAACCTTCTCCTACAAACCAAGTAAGTATGCGTAGAGTCCAGGCTGCAGAGTATTTTGAACCAAACGTCGCAGTTATTGACTAAAAGATTATATACGCCTTAGCGATAAGCTTGTCTATTCTCATTGCAAGTTGGATGCATAGTTTATTGATATTGTGAGGAGAAATCACATAATCATCTATTCAAGGTGCTTTAACCCTTTCACTGAAGAAGCAGCCAAATTTACAGGTGCCCTTCCTATTGATTGTGGTTCTTTGATGATAGCCTCGCGTAAACGTTACGTTTTAAAAAAACAGTTTGAAGTCTATTCTTTTTGCTAAATATTAACTGTACATCTACCAAAATTATACTTTTTCTAGCTTTCCGTTGTTAAATACTGGCATACTTAGCTTTCTTTTTTTGTCTCTCTTTTTCTACCACCTTTTTTCCTTTTTTTCTTTTTGTGTTTTGTGTAATGTGTGCGCATGTGTGTTACCTAACCCTCTTATATAATAATTTATTAATAACCTTAGTGAGGTTGCTCTATGTAGCCCTCAATGGTCATAATGGGCAGCCTGAACTCTCTCAATTTTTTATGTAATATATATATTTTTTTATCATGTAAATTAACTGTAGGGTACAAATAAAGATGTTAAGTTATAAAATATATCTTCAAAGTCTCTCGATTAAAACTCGAGCTAAAATGTCTAACTTGCTCCTGAACCCCACCCTTGCAATCCTGAACACTTTTATTTCTTTTTATCGTTATGATTTATTGGCTATTTCTTTTTTCAAATATACATTTTCATTCATGTATTTGTTCATCTCATGCCAAGGAACTTTTGGTGAAAGCTTTTGGCCAGATATCCAACTTCAAATATGTAATTTGCGGCGCGAAGAGCATCTAAAATTTGTACACAGTATCATTTTAGTCCCGAAATCGAACGTACAGAAACCATGTTCGTTGTATTTTCTTCTGTGTCAAGCTCCTCGATATATTCCTAGTAAAAAATAAAATAAAGCGCCAGAAAGATTCAACTTGATCATCGCTTGCGCCAAAATGTGTTGAAATTTCCAGTATTCTATTTGGTGCGGCATCTGAGCATTTTTGGGAAAAGACAATATTATTTCATATCACTTCTTTCTCAAATTCTTAATATAAGTCTGAAATTTTCATGGTGGTGAAATATGTAAACATTTTTGTGACTCTCATATACTTCCCAAGGTTTTCACTGTTTCTTTTCTTTTTCGTTTCTTTTTTTCAAATGCAACTTCAATTTTATTCATCTCGGAGAAAAAATTACACCTGAAATGACCTTCTTTAACCTTCGGGATTGTTATTTGCATACAAAAGAGCGCGACTAAAAATATGAATTCCAAGGCTATAACGCATTCGCCAGTAATTGGCCTGTGTTTTTAAAATCCATATTCATGTGTGGCTGTTGAATGTGCGTCAAACCAAAGAGGTCGTAGACGGGTGAGGACGTGTCACTGTGTGGGGAAAGTTTAACCAAGGGCGTGCTTGAAATCCGAAAGGTCTGAAGCTAAGGACATAACTAAACATTATTTCAACCGATGGTGAGTTTTGTTTTAATTTAATTTTAGTAATTGCAAGCGAAATAATGAACCAAAGTTTCTGAATTCGTGCGCTTTCATTCAGTGCTTTTAACTTGGTCTTCGACTAAGTGTTATTCTCTACAAGAACGTAGTTCACTTTTATCGTTGTTAAGAACCAAAGAACTCAATTCTTTACTTAGAAATAATGCTGTGTCATTAATATTTTGAGATAAATTATTTCGTAGTTTCGAAATAATTTGAGTAAAAGCTGATGACCCATTTGTAAATCAAGTTGAACGCAGCCACGTGCGTTATATTTTTGAAGTTCATGTATTTTAGTAGGCGAAGAAGAATTGTGACACGGTGTTTTAAAATTGTTCAAATGAACTTTTCTTGGTTACTGCTAACTTCGTTTTTTGACCTAATTTTATTCTGCGCTAGGTTGTAAACTTAAAGTTTGTAATTTAGCCAACCGATCTGATAAGAGCTTTGTTTATTTTTGTTTACAGGAAAAGCAAGATTAGGAAGAAGACAAGAAAAAAAAGGAACTAGGGAACACAAACTGGAATCACTCAGTAAAGATAAGAATTTATAAATAATATTGTTATAGTAATTTTTCAGTGGCACTGATACTGCAGATTTACTGAAAGGTCAAGTCTGAGATGATCAGCTGTTTAATTTTTTTTTCAATTTGCATTATTTCTTATACAAACTGCACAGTAGAAATTAAATTTTGCATGACTCAGGTTTCTCAAGCACTGACCTTCAAGTAAGCTGCACTGATTAGTATCCCTATCGAGTCTCTACGACTATAATAATTAAGTAGTTATGGTGGATTTTTTAAGGAGGCACTGAGAGACGGTTCAAGAAACTCTGAATATTAAGAACAACAAAGATTTCTATGGTGAACTTCAAACAGTGACGACTAAAAAGCCATTCATGAAAAATGTTTTGGCCTTTATTAGAAAGCAACGATACCTACAATGACGAAAAAAATGATTTAGGGACGCTTTGTGAACAGATATTTTGGCCTGTATTGCCCAAGCAACAATTTGCTATTACCCAGTGCTCCTTCATTTGGAAAACAGGGATTCCCTAACGGGGATAATTCGGAAACATTTTTTTAAACATAATTGCCAGTGCCACCTTAAAAGATTCACTTAGTTTTCTTACAATTTATCCGTCTTGCATTGGACAAGAGAACAATGGCAACTTAAAACTTAAAATGGGATAAAAATGTCAAATTTTTTATTTTCACTATCGTAAAGGACACTGACTTACTAAAACGATTTGGTTACGCTACATCAAGAATGCATAACCGCTGTACAAAACGACTAAATTTTTTGAACAAATCATTATACAACCCAACCTCAACAAGACGAACAAAACTGTTGTTTACAAAGCATTTGAATATTTATACCTTGAATCTGTTTTCTTATTATTTACAATGATGACTGAACAATACAAAATAATTACTTTCGAAATCTAGAGCAGCAAAACTGTATGTAACCTACAATCTACAACATTTAGTGATCGACGTTTAAGACAAGGATGAGACCGGCAGAAACCTAAACACAAGACTGACTGGACACAAAAAACGACGAAAAATCTGAATATGAACGAACAACCACACTAGCACTTTGCTCTTTGTTTACAACCTACAACATCGTCTACAATTAATATACAAAAACAACTGACTTGCTATAAGCTGTTTCCTTAGCTAAACAGATGCCATTAAATATACGGGCACCTTCCAACTGTTTATAAACCATCAACGAACGAACTTCACAGACAGATCGGAATTAACCAATCACATTTGACGAACGCAATTCCTCTCGATCGACTGATACTCCCAAGTTAAATGATAAAATCTATTTGATCTTTTTGTAAAATGTTTTAGGAAAGTCCATTTGCCAACGTCCTCTTATCCTTTTGCAAGTTTTAGTTAATAAAACCTATGACTGGCTCAGAGAACTCTGAGAAATTTTCTCAAAACTGTTTTGTTTACAGTTATGCAGACCTCAAAATTGTCAATTTAAGGTCGAAGACATTTTGATTTCTTATGCAAAGTTACTAACTGAAGAACACATAAAAACTTCAATTTGGCTTGGAAGTACTAGATCTCAAGATCCGACAGTTTTTTTTAATTTTTTAAGGACTCCAGTGAACTACGCATCAAACCTGTAATAATTTTATCTTTCATTTCACAATAACCTCGTTAGTCGTGACACCTTTAAGAAAAAACATTTGTCTATCTCATTCAACCCGAACAATAACAATTAGAATTCATGTTCAGCTCAGGTTTTCTTGAGAAAGTTTCAAGCAAATGAAAAGTAATTCTCTAATTAAGTTTGGCTTTGAAATTAACGGCAGACTTGAAAGTTCAGAGAATCCAGTGATCTGTTTCAAAGCAACACTTTCTTCACAGAGCTTCTTAAGTTTTTCTCTCTTTTAAAAAAATTCTTCGCATGTTATCAGAAATCACATTTTGCTATGAAAATTAGCTACATAATCCCGTTTTTGTAACGCACTGTACGTTTTCTTTCACTTATGGTAAAGAAACTAGAG